TAAACGTCCTAGTCAGGTCAGTAGAAGACCGGGGTTGGTAACGCGACATGATATTCAGGGGCGCCTGACAAATAGAAGAACTTGATTTTTTACCGAAAACTTAACAATCAATATACATACAGGAGCCCAAGATGGGTTCCTGTTATCGTCACTAATCGTGACTATTCGCTTCTATTCGTCGCTATTCGCGACTATTCGTCACTATTTGCGACTATTCGCAGTATTCGGTGATTATTTGGGTTTTATCACCAGCCAAGTTTCTGGCATAAAAACCGAAAATCCCAATGCGCCGTCGCTAAGGGGAGGACCACTTAATAGAAGGAGGATGCGTAATCAAAGGGAGCGCTTATTTATCTCCTGTACTGAACCCGGTGTGATTGACGCTAAATTGAAGGGGGAGGGGAGGGGAGGGGCGCTTATGAGAGCGTTAGACGTTATTCGAGGAATACGGACTCGTATTACGGCTGAAAAACTGAAATCGTGAAATTATAGTTGTTATTTGACGTCTAGGGTCTTGCCAGACTTTTTTCGCTCTGTCGACTCTCAGTATGTTTTCACAGGTCCACAGTTAAACAGAAAATACTCGCCCATCTCGCTCAGTTGATTTGGACCTTGTCGATTTTTCAATGTGAAGAGGAGCGAGCATCTAAAGACAGCGATCAGTTTGAATACCGTCATGATTCCCGTCTGGATCGTGGTTACTCTTTCTGGTGAGTGAGAATTCTTTCATGCGAATGATTTATTCTGTTGTCACTTCACTCATTATACGTGCAACAAAGGCATCTAGAAGTCAGATCTGTTTGGTTTTACAGGCCAGAAGTTTTTGTTATCATTCTGTTCTTGACTTCACTATGTCCTCCGACCTCTAATGCTCATTTTTAATCCGTAATTTAATCTCATTTAACCTTAGTGTCTCATTGTCCTTCACACATTATTTTCCTCTTCCTCAGGGTTAGCTTGGTGTTCGCGGTCCCACTTTTTCATCGATCGAATCGAAAACTTACTTGCAGGAGGTTCTTAATTTAACATCTCAAAATTTTTGTTTACAAAGATTTCGACAAAGATTTCGCACGAATATTAACCACCCTAAAGCCCATTGCGGAAATATTTGATCCTTTGAAATATGTTTGGTCTGGACCGAAAGATACTTGACATCCTTAGAGTATTAGATTGCAAGGTATTAATGAAAAGTGTATTTTACTTTCTCATGCATAAATTGATTTTTATGTTCAAGTACGGCGTTGACTTAAAGAGGCATTTATTTCTGACGTATTACGAAATTGATGTCCGGCAACAGTTGATGATATGTATGACTTCCGGAGACGTGGAAAATGATAACTTTAATGGTGACCCAATACTTTCGCCCGTCAAACAAGCTATTCTTGTAATGAGCCAAGAAAGTGAAAAAACTAGGGGCTCCTTAAAGCTTCATCATAGCATGAGAACTGCCATCTCCTTCCAATATTGCGTGACGAACCTTGAATGACCAGTTGATTATTAATTTTTAATGCACTAGTCCAACCATATGCGTAATAACAACAGGTAAAAGAAGAGGTTTCAAGTGACAGCCGAACATTAAAAAGACATCAGAGAATGAATATTCGATCTGTGCCTGAGCAAGTACTTAGATTTAACCACCCGACTAGTATATTGGATTCAAGCAGCCATACCAGAAGCGAAATAGCTCACAAGGTAATTGCGTGAAAAAAAAATAAGGGTCAAATGAAATTT